CCCCCCCCCCCCCCCCCCTCCCCCCTCCCTGTACCCCGTGGCACAAGGCCGTCTTCTGCTTACAACTATTTGCTTCCCTTGCCCAGTTGATGTAGGTGATAACTTTCTGGCCAGTCTCTACTGCAGCACTAAGGGCATACACTCACCACTAACACTTTCCGGACTGTACCTGACTGCAATTACGGCCGGACGACCTGGATGAATCTGACAGCAATCACGTCCAGAGCGTAGTAGAAAAAGTCCTGGTGTGAGTATTCTCTCGCCTCAGCTCAGGGAGAGTGTCGAGCAATCAGTGCGGGCATAAAGATTGCAGGTCAGGAATACTGAATTCACTCAGAAGTTTCAATGCAATGCTGGGCCTGTTTCCCAGTGCGATGCAGTGCCTGATGCTCTGCACAATTAGATTGGAGTGTGGTTTTCGTCAAAAATGCACAGAGAATCATCAAACAGAGGGTCTTTTTTATGGAATTCCAAGATATATTTATTTATTTATTTATTTATATTTATTTTTTCTGACAAGTTTGTCGGACATGGACAAGATAGAGTGCGAGTTGTTGCAGCAAAACAGGGGCACAATGGATAGCCAGTGAATCTGAATACCAAGTGGGTCGGTAGGTAGGTAGGTAGGTAGAATTTTTGTCTCCAACTGGTATCTCAAAGTGGCAGCTCAGTTCGTGGGCCAGTGAGGGCCCCTGTAACGGGTGCCCCACCTTTTCTTTCTTTGTGTTCTATTGTTGTTTCTGAGGCCATAAGGGCCTCCCAGCCGGGCAATGGAAAAAAGAGGCCCTGAGCGAAGAGAGGTCTGAAAGGGAGAAAGGCTCGGCCAGTTTCAGTAAATTCCAGGCTGGACCAGACCAGTTGGCTTAGCCAGGCCGTCTGGATCCCAGTAGACCCTCTCTAGAGATCTAGGGCTGTCTGGATCCCAGTAGGCCATGGTGAGATCCGGATGCTTCCAAAAGGCACTGCGGATACCAGTGGGGAGCTGTCTAGGGCATGAGGACATGTTTGGTCAGGCAGAACCACCAGGCTGCTTTCACGCAAGTGTGCAGAAAGAGCCAGTGTTAGCAGCTGCACCAGGGAAGGAGAGGGAGGTAGGGCCAGTCATAGCTGCACTGGGTGCTAGGGAGAGGGAGGTGGCACAAGTAAGGGAGGGGCTGTCTAGGGCCACAGGACATGTTCGGTCAGGCAGAGTCACCAGGCTGCTTCATGCACATGTGCAGAAAGAGCCAGTGTTAGCACCTGCGCCAGGGAGGGAGAGTGAGGTAGCGCCAGCCATAGCTGTGCCGGGCGTTAGAGAGAGGGAGGTAGTGCAAGTAAGGGAGGGCTTGGTAGGAGGAAGGCCGTAAGGAGGACTGAATTGGCAAGGGAGAGATGTGGCGGCAGCCAAGGAGAGCTCCAACTTCATACATTTGAAGGACAGACGCGGTGGTCGCCAAGAAGAGCGTCAGCTCCATACATTCTTCATTCAGGGATCGGTGCAAGCAGCATTGTAAGTTAGAGTAGTAGCAAGACCACCG